TAAACATTATCTTTTACATCACTCTATGCAGGTTTCTTTTATTTGAACAAAACAATTTCTTCACATGCACTTTCTGTCCTCAACGTCTATCACTAGATGCACTCACAACAATAAATGATATTAACCTTGCTATGATTATTCTAAGGAAATGAGACATTGTTAGGAACAACAGAACTAAGAATATACCATTTTTATGATTGGCACATGATATGCCAAAAACAAAACATAGCACGAGTCAGGAGCTCACTTACATGCCATCATGCTTTCCCAGTGGTTCATAAAGCACATATTGCAAATGAGATAGCTCCGAATGGAATTACACCCTGAGAGAAATCATTATTAAAGACAGACAAACCTTCATACACAACATGGCCCAACCCACCCCCATATAAATCTAAGAAATTTTGTAGGGCATGGGAAAGAAATCACAAGCATATGATTCTCAGCAGCCTTAAGCCTCCTGCTTGCATCTTGGAAAGAATAAATTAATTGGGAATAGCTCTAAAGGAATCCCTATTTGACCTCTTTCCCTTCCCCCAATCTCATGGTGTAAAATTAACTGGAAACAAAGGGAATGCAAACCTAAAGCATAACGCTCCATCAATGCTTTACTAATTTTAGCATCTAATCGCAGTGTAATCTATAGGTTATTTTCTTTCTTTGTTGTGAAAAACAATGGGCACAGATGCTTTACATGAGTCCATAATAATTAATAAATGCGAAGACCTCTGTTCAATATTTTCAACCAGGATAAAGTCAGCAACCAGAAGAAAAAAGATTCTTAGAAACAAACCATCAGACTCTGAGTTTCTAAATATGTCACTAAACGACCATGTGGATTCCCAGTAAGTTTAAGTTTCGTCTGCAAGTAGAAAAATTAATTAGAGCAGTGATCATATATACCAAAAAACACTACATAAGAGACTATACTGAGGGCCTCAGTAAAAGGTAAAGAACAGAGTGAGATTAAATGATGGCAGTGGCTTATCTTTCACTACGACATGATCTTATTACTTCAGGTAACTTTGATACAATGAAGATAATCTTTTCATTTTTCACAATATAAAAATGTTATGAAAGTTGAAGAGTCAATAACACATTTAAATCCATGCACTGACAGGTACAAACTTGCTGAGGCATTTCAACTTGTGTATTTAAGGAGCCTATTGCTCTGCATTTTAAGTTTTTTTTGCCACTTTTCAGCACAGCTCATGCACTTATCAAACCAGC